GGTTGGTCGAACTGGCCGGGATGGTCGGCACCGCTCCTGCCCGCTAAATTGAACCTAAGGGGACTCTAAAAAGATTTTACTGATTTCGGTGAATGAGAGACGAGCCGCGCGCTCCTCGCAATCAGCGGCTTCGGGCCGAGGCGAGTGTGTTTGTCTGTCTGTCTGTCTGTCGTTGTGTGTATATGTGCGCACCGAGAGAACAAAGTGTTTGGTATTTGTAACTGTAGCCGCATAGCGGAAGAATTCCAGTCGGGAGCACCATTTTGACAATAAGTATGTAGGTGCGTCGCGACCGGCATTCCTTTTTCGTGAGAGCAACTAGAGGTTATCCGAGGATGACCGTAATTTTACAACAACCAACACTGGTTATTTTTTCCTCGGGGACTAATCTGACGCGGCCACTTTCTTCTCTCGGCGACTGAGCCGAAAGTGTTCGCCCTTTGCGATTCTCCAACTGCCGGAGTGACGTCGAATATTAAGTATTTGAATGCAAGACGTCGTCCGCGAAACAAACGCGAGACGGATGCGCGAAACGGATGCGTCGAAACCTAACCTAACCTAACCTAATCTAACCTACACTCGGGTTTGTCTCTGCCGGAGAAAGTGTCGGCCAGGCATCGCGTCGATTGTTTTCGGGAGGTTTTCGGGAGGAGAGGATGTAAAATCTTCCGAAATTGATATCGTGTTAATAGGATTTAAGTTAAGGCTTGAATTATAAAGACGTTCGGCATCGAGAATGAAGCGGTCACGAAGGAGAAGGAAGGGGGGACGCTCCAATCAAGCGCACGGCCGAGGAGCCTCCGTTTCAAAGTTGAAGACGAAAGGGTATCTCATCTCGAGTTATCCGTTTCTCCAGCTCGGAGATACCCCGCGGAGTCACGGTGGAATTACGAGCTTGTCCGCATCGGCTGGGTCCAATCTGGCGAGGAATTCGCGATTGTTAATAATAAAATGCGAAACGCGCGCACCGGGCGTATTGAGGCAAAGCTCTCGGGATACGGAACAAAATTCGCGCGCGTTTAATCCGCTTTTCTCCTCCGTATATCTTGCGCACCTCGCTATATATCTCCCGACGTCGCGCCGTTGAGGGAAAGGTTCTCGCCCGGGCTTCGTAAACGAAATTTATTTCGCACGGGGACCGCGCGCCGGCCGAGCATTAATTCGTCAATCTGAAGAACGGCTCATATCGGCCGGCGATTGTTCCTCGTCGCGTTTGCGCGTTGCGGCCTCCGCTTCTTTTTTTTGCTTCCGTCGTCCCTTTGTCAGGCTGCTTACGCGAAATAACGATTATTAATCCGCGGCAATCTAGATAGGCAGGATACGTCGGTGAAGGATTGGATTACACGTTGTACGCGCGATCGCGCGCAATTTAGTATCGTCGTGCGCGCTAAGCGCGGTAAATTGGTCGGCACGCGATTTATTGCGATCGCCGGGCTACCTGTGGTGGTCCGTACCAGTTCGCGAAATCCGCTTCTGCGAGATTCCAAAGGCACGAGAGACAGCGACTCGTCGCCCGGTGAAAGCAAATTGTTTCGCGGCGTTATATAAATTCGCCTCTCTGCCTACCGCGAATCCGCCGCCGCCGCCGCCGCCGACGTCGCTACGGGATGTGTGGAAGCGATGGAAATCTCGGCGCGGTCTTTGCTAATTCCTTTCACGCGGAGCGACGACTATTCATTCTCGCCGGCGACTAAATGCAATTTTGCTCGGCGTTTGTTTCCCTTCGGTGCGGCGGCGCGGAAGTTTCAACAATCGCGGTTCGCTGACTTTGACGTATTGTCTGAGCGCGAACCTGAGCGCGAGCAGCGTTCGACGCTGTTTCCAAGGAACAGGTCCTACCGTCCTAAGCTTCGGGTCGTGAAAGAAAAGAATTAACGAATCACTGGAGAAAAAAATGAACAAGACGCGCTCTCGCTGTTCATTCTGCCGCAGGAAGCCGAGGAACGCAAAAGTCCACGTTCGGAAGGTGGCGCACGAAGTAGACGCATAACGGTCCGTCGGACGCGTCCGGTGCGCGATTCCGCCGACTAAAAGCCACGCACGCGTGAAAAGAACAGGAATAACATACGTCGCGGTATATTCAACGGTTTTCGACTCTACCGCATTTAAATTGGGCCCGGTCAGTGGGAACGTACATGCGCTCGCTTGTGTTCTCCATTCATCAATTCGTACAAAAGATCGCCGCCACAATAAGTAACCGTCTGATTTGATGGGAACTTTTTCTGCAGCTCGCCGTTGGCGACTTCAATGGCGACGTAAAAAAAATCATCCAGTAGAGAACAAAACGATTCTCTTCTCTCTCGACAAATTCACACTTCGGAATATCGCCGATTGCTGAAACACCATCCAGACGTTGGACAGGACCATTTGCATGCTCGTCAAACTGCTGCTAAACAATCTGTCACCAGTATTGGAGCGTTATTTGACGGCAGTTGAGCGTTTGAGATTGATGTTTCTACATTAGCAGTCCTATTTATCCAATGGATTCCAGCATCAGGATTTTTCCGTTGTTACGAATGAACATTATTTATACAGGATTGCATAAAGGTGCTAATGGAGTGTCCTTTATTGGATAATAAATGATGAATGCTTTATGTGTTTCTCTCATTTATCCTAATTTCTATCCTTGCTACACTTTCGGACCACGTTGGAGCGAACCAATTAGATTAATAGCGGATGTTAAACACTATTTAAGAAATACATTCTTGGTTAATGTACGATTATCAGTGCTCGATCCAGGATCGATTGTGGATGTTGGGTCCAATTGATGAAGAACTGGCTGTTGTTGATTCAAATGTCAAAATATCATCCAATCGTAATTCAATATTTGGTCATTCGACCAATGACCCAACGCTGGATGTAAAAGTCGATATAGAACCAGATCGGAGTACACCTGGAATCGCAGCGATTCAGATTTCACGTCGAAGATAATTGAAGTTTCTCGGTAGTACATGCGGTGTATTGTAGGCGCACTTGAGAAAATCGAAAAGGGGATAATTGAGGTAATGGAGGAAAAATAGCGTGTAGCTTCATTTGTGCTCTCCTCGCGTGTGAAAGTCTTTAGTTTCTGCAATTTAACGATATCTACGACGGAAGAGTAATATCGACGCGACGACAAGATACCGACTGCTACTTGTCGACGAGATCGCCGCAATTACACTGCTAAATCGATTCTCAAATTGGACTGTAGATAATAATGTAACAGTCGCGATAGTCTCTTCCAATGTCGTTGTTACGGGCCAGCGATCTGACGGTAGCCATCAGCGCGTCTTCCTGTCCTTTGACATTTCAAACTATAAACGATCAGCTCTCTCCCCCTCTCCCTCCCCCCTCTTTCTCCCTCTGTTTCTTTCTCCCCGATTCGCCACGGATACTTCCGCCTGTTCGAGTCAACCTAGCGACGATGACATCGCAGTCCTCCAGAAAGCAATTCCTCGCTGTCCAGGGAGAAAGGAGGAATCTCTCCGTCTCTCGTGAACGAAACAACGCGCCCGCTCCTTTAAATGGCCTCGGACACAAAAATCCTTATCCCCAAGCCGTCGTCAAGCTCGTATCATCCGCCCGTATTACCTCGCGAGTAACCGCGAGAACAGGCCAAGTGGGGAAGACGCCAAGCGGGTAATGATGGAGGAAGTAACTGACAAACGCAAATTACAGAGGAACGTTATGCATAATGCATAACGCATAATACCGCGGAAGACGACTCCGTCCGCGGCTGCTCGCCGCGCGATACAAGCGCGCCGCGCACGTATCGGAGATATTTCGTCACCCGGCCCCCCAAAGTCGGAGCCCTCTCCGCTCCGCTCTATCGGCCGTTAACTTCCCGGCCGATAATCCTTCCTCAAGCCGGCCCCTCTCGCGCGGCGGAGGCCCGAAATGCGCTCTCCGGGTGGGACGAAATCGCGGTGGGCCCTCGTTAGTCGTCCACCGCGTCGTGGAGGGTCAGTCCCGCGTGTTCGAGCGAGCGAGAACGTCGCGAGGAGGGGAGGGGAAGCAGCATGGACACACATATACGCACTCACACGGAGAGCGGGAGAGGCAGGGGAAGAGGGGGAGGGGGAGGGGGGAACTCCGGAGGGTAGCCTCTTCGGAGGGAAGAGAAACAGGACGTAAGGAAGGAAGGACGGTCGCGGCGCGCTGTGGGACGTTAAGTACGTCTCGTAAAAATTCCATCCCGCAGCGGCGGCGGCGTCATTTTGCTGCGGCCCGGCATAGCCGGCAACGCAGAGAGGCGGGGCCTCGGCAGGCCCGGCCCTCAGCTCCGCGAAAGGGGCACGGTCTCAGCGGCGGAGGTGGCACCCGGTACGTGGCAGCGAGCCAAGAGCCCCGGCACGGCGGCCGGAGCGCTCCACCAGCCTCCTACGCGTGCGCCAGACCGACCGAGAGGAAAGCGCCTGCCCAACACCGCGCCGGGAATCCCCGGCCCCGTATCATTTGGAGTCACCGGCTTGGACTGGCCTGAGAGGAGGCACCCGGCTGCCTCCCGGAGCTTGTTAAACGCCGACGTATTGACGTTTCTCGCGCCTCGCGTATTTCGTTCGCCGCGGACTGCCGGGACGCGCAGCTGTGTGCTGGTGTTTCAGTGAGAAGTAACGTAAGGGACTCTCTTTTGTGGGACACTGCGTGTCTCCGAGCGCGAACAGGTTGCCGAGGAGGCTGGCACGGCCGAGGGCTGCCGCGAAACTCACTCGTCATGAAGTTTCTTCGCGCGGACCGGACCAAGGTGACAGTGCTGGGGTGAGGGCTCGCGTTCCGACGGAAGACACTGGGCCGGGGGGATGTTTCGGCGGCAGGGGGCGGTCGAGTCCTGAAGTCGATTGCGCGACTGCCTCGGCCACGACGATGGAGAGTCCGCGCGCGTCGCGATGACGAGTCCTCGATAGTGGTCGTAAGAGACGGACAGACAGAGAGAGTGAGAGGAAGAGAGGGGAAGGGAGGGAGGGAGAGAGAGAGAGAGAGAGAGAGAGAGAGAGAGAGAGAGAGAGAGAGAGAGAGAGAGATTAAGGACTTGGCGGTCGCGTTGCTGGATCCTCGGGCCAATGAGGACGAGAGAGCCACGTTGTCGCGCGATAGCCCCGTGAAAAGTGCAGCGTGAAAGTGCACGACCGTGTCTCAAGGATGTGCGTCTAAGGGTCCGAAGAACCTGGCTGGCGAGAAGAAGCAGGTAGAGGCATCGCGCGCTGCGCAGTCGAGTCGCAGGTTTGCCCGCGCGGCATGTGCACGACGGAGATGACTGAATCTTACACGATGTCGCCGTCGACGACGGTATCTTCCAGCGGGGCGACGCCCGGCTGTATGAGCAGCTCGCCGGCGCACCGACGGACGTCGTGCCGAGGTTCGCCGAGCCGGGGAGATGTGCAGGACGACGACGACGAGATCTCTGTAGGTTGCCCCAGCCCATTGCCGCTGGTCATGGTGGCAACTGCGGCTGGCAACACGGAGGATGAGCTGATGGCATCTTCGAGGGAGGACTACGCGGAGCGCTTGAGCCCGAGGAGGTCTTATCCTCGCGATGCGCTCACGGAGGATGAGGAGAGTTACAGTCGCAACGGCGACTACAGGATGTCGAACGGCCGAACGGCCAGGACTCGCGAGAGCGGTGACTCGGTCACGACGTTGAGGGACGAAGATGAGGACGACGACGACGAGGAGGAGGACGAAGACGTCGACAGCAGGACCGGCAGCAACGGCACAGCGGCTGCTGCCGCCACCACGGACGACTACTTCAAGCCGCTCAAACGTTTGAAGATGGTGCAGATGCAGCACTCGGACGAGGAGGATGAGCGGGAACGCGAGTCCAATGACCGCGGCGTCAAGTCCTTCAGCATCCTCGACATCTTGTCGCATCGGCCCAAGGCGAAGATCGTCCGGCCCTGGGATACAGTGGACTCTGGCCTCGCTCACCAGCACCGCCACCACCTGCACCACCACCATCACCATCATCACCAGCAGCAGCACCATCCGCACCACCTGCACCATCACCACCACTCGGCCGGGCCGCGGGACCTCTCGCTCATGGGCATGTCCTTGGCGTCCATGTCTAGCTCCATCAGCGAGCCTCCCCTCAGCAGCTCCTCGTCGTCCGGCAGGAGCTCCGTGTCGGACTCGGGCAGCCCGGACCCCTTGGCCCATCATCACCACCATCACGCTACGCTCCACCACGGCATTCACCCCGGCCTCCATCACCCGGCGCTGCAGCAGCCTCAACAGTCGCAACAGCAGTTCAAGCGGAAGTCATCGCAGCAGCAGCAGCAGCAGCAGCAACAGCAGCAACATGGCTCGCACGCTGGGCAGAACGGCAAGAGGACCACCGGCCAAGGCAGTCCCTTGGACGCGCTCTTCCAGATGACCAGCAAGACCTTCGACGCGGGCGAACACAGCCAAGGTAAGCGCTATGGGTTCTTTTCTTTGGGCTTCCCGAGAGGAGTCTCTCTTGCGAAAGAAGAATCGCAAGCGAGAACCGACGCTAGCTTCTCGATATCGCGTCGCTATCCGCTACGCGGAGAGGTTGTTGTTTACATTACGGTGCAGGGAGGTTCAGCTGCGATGTAATTTACTGCGACTTGACTGACGACTGATGACATTTTTGCCAAGGCAGCTGTCTCCCTTGTCGACGCAGACGACTCGAGCCGGGAATGTTTCAGCGTCCCGTTTTGCATCTAACGCATCATTCCGTTAACACGTAGGAGGGATTCGTTTGGTTCGAGGGATCCGATGCTTAGACGATCATTAGGGAGCCGATAATCGCGCCGAAAAGGGTCGAATGAAGCAAGCGGTGGAGGTTAATTCCGCGGTAATATTTGCAGCAATCGCTCGTTATCTCAATCATCGGTCCGGATTGCTGGGTAGAAAAGAAGAGTGGCTCGTTGAAAGTACGTTTCCAATGCGTTGCACCTCCGACAGCCGCGGTGAACCTCATGTTTTTGCGCGGCGCGAACTCTTCCCTTTGCGCGGCACAGGCCGCCGCGCGAGCCGAGCCGAGCGACGGCAAAGTTACCCAACCGGCGAGCGATTAACAGTTTCGAGGAAGGCGCTGCGGCGGCAACCCTACTTTTCTCATTTTATCGCCTTTCGCGCAGACATTTCGTCGCTGCCGGCTAATCTCGGCGTTTACGGCTTTTTCTAAAAACGCCAATTTCGCGAATATAAATATTAAGATGTGGCGCGATGTAACTGCGCCGTGATATAATCAGTATTACATTGGCCGGCCGGCCGGCCGGCCGTAATCGTCGTTCCACCTGTAAAAGGGCCGCGCAAGGTTAGCTCGGTTCGCTGCGGAAGGGACCTTTCTCCCAACGAAACAGTTCCAGTTTCGAAGGTTTACCTACCACCTTTCCATACGGCTCTCACTATTTTTATTCGTGTCTTGTTTTGCAAGCACCGTGACGTTAGGAGTAGCTTCTTCCGTTTCTACGAGTCTACTTGCGCGCTTGTCTACAATATCGCGCTGTTGAAATAGAGAATGCATCAGTTCATCGATGAAATTCGTTAAACTGCAGTGCGTCTCTCTCGTATCTTACTCGACCTTGCAACTTGCGAGGTGGTGTCCTCGCAAGGTGGAGGAAAATGTATTCAGCATAACGTGGAAGACCATCATAAAACCCGGTTTACACGAGCAATGGCTAATAACGCGCGCTTGTAGCATTATTGTCAACAATTGTAAAGTAAGCGATTCGAAATTGCTGGAAACGACAACTCGCGACAGGTTATCGAAACAGGTTAATCATAATTGGTTGTCAACTTGTTGATCTCGTAGGAAGAAACGTTGTTAACGATATTCGCGTTTTCGGCACTTTGCGCCAGACGAGTGTTGGCGACAAAAGTCAATAATCTTGTCAATGAGTTAATAATCTTGTCACCGACTGTGGAAATATTATTTTTGCAAGCCATCACTTAACGCTCCAGACCGGAGGATGTTGTGGGTGACAATTGCAATTGTCGTTTATCAGCAATTCGCCGCTGGTGTAAACAGTCTTTCACGATCCCTACATCTGTCGCCAACATTTGAGTATATTTCGCTCAGAATTTTATCCAGCAACTAAAATAAATGTCGCAGTAACCGGATGTTTAAGCGTAGGTCGTCACAAAAGATATACAATATTAAGAATAATTTTGATATAAATATTTACATTTATTCGAAAACTTAAGATTCCCTTAAGTAGAGAAAAATTATCTAAACCAATATATATATATATGTCTATTATTAATGAAATATTTACATAAGTAATGAAGCGCATTAATGTACTAGTGACCGGACAGTTGAAATAGATTATGGCCCAATGTTTGGATATAATCTGTCCCAGTGTCTGATTAGAACCGCAATTAGAAAATTAGTATATGGTAATGGAAATAATATAAATGTAGATGCTATCTCTTAATGAATTTATTAACTATTAACCATTATTTTGCTAAACCATAAGTGTATACTTAATTAATTTTTATTCAACATAAAAATATCAAATTGGGTATATTTTTTCCAACTAACCGTCAAATATTGGACTTTTTTTACAATAATTTTTACCTTCATTTATTATTGGTAAAATAAATAGCAAACAATTTTTTTCAAAGTGGTCGGATATTGGGACGTGTCCGGTCATTGGGACGTTTACCTTATTAGATAACCAAAAAGAATTTGCGAGGTTTAAGTTCGATGCGATGAGTTGTCGAATCTCGTCGTGTTCATGCTTGTCATGTAGCACAGATTTCCGTTAATTGGTTAATTGATGAACTTTGTCAAGGCATGGTTTCCCGATTTGTGATCATTCACTCTTTTAAAATTGAATCGAGTGTAATTCGAGCGCGTTTACTTTATAAATTCAAAGTTGGGTCGAAAGCTGCAGAAGCATGTCATAAAATATATACGTAGCGTTAGAAAATATATGCTGAAAGTACAGACTGCACACAAGTAGTCTAAAAAATTTTCTTCCGGCGACAAGTCACTCGAGGACGCGGCACGTTCAGAATAATAGGAGTTCAGGAAGAACCCCATTATTGATAACGAAGAGTTATCGATTATTTATTCATGCATCGATTAGAACATTTTTCCTGAGAATTTCTGCCCCTATTTAATTTTTCTTACATAAAACTGCACGAGCTTCTTTGGTTACCTAACAGTTTCCCGCGGGAAGCACACTTCTGTCGAGAAAACATTTCCGCGTCGTCAGTTTCCCTCTCTTCAATTTTTTCCTCCGGCTGTAAAGGAGGAAAGCCTGAAAGAGGAAACCTGCGTGCGTTTTCGGCTCGCTTCAGGTTCGAGCAGAATCGCCCTTCGGGGAGAAACGCAAACAAACAATCCCGATCGAAATGCGATTCCGAAATCGCTCGAGATTCCATTCGCGGCGTGCGCGTGCGCGAATCAAAGACGGATTGCCTCGCGCTCGTAATTGGAGAGCCTAAGTATCTCCGATGAATGCGGCCTTTAATTTTGATCGATGTTCCGCGGCAGGAGAGAGCCAGGAAGCGCGCGGGCTTGATCTCGCTCCTTCGTCGTCAGCGACGAGGATCTCTCTCGTCTCGAATTCTACGGCGCGTCAGCTGCCGAAAATAATACGAGTCGCCGTCGATCCCGCGGCGGGGGGAGGGAGGACAGAGGTCAACGCGTTATCGCGCGGATCCTCTCTCCGGGATTTCGGCTGATGGACGCGCACGCTCGACGTCGACAACTTGAATCGCGGTCGCTCAGGATTGCTCCGCGTCGGGCTCGTTTGCCCGACAATGAGACGCGCGCGCGCGCGCGCGCGCGTAATTAATTATCCGATGCATAATGCATAATGCCGACGCAGCGCGCTGATCGCGATATCGGGTCAAGCGGCGCGCGTGTTTATTTGTTGAGCGTATAATTGAAAAAAATCCTTCATGGCTGCGCGCGCTCGCGTCGCTCTAGTTAATGAGCGGCGGGCGTTGCGACGAGATGTGTCACACACACGCATGCATCACAATGGAAAGGGAGGGGAGGGGGCAGCGTGCCCCTTTCCTCGCAATTGTACGCTCCGCGAGTTTTCGCATGACGGAAATGTCAAGCGATAAGTGTCCGTCGAGAGATCACGGTTAAAGACCTGAGAATCCACGTGTTGCCGGCGATCTTTAGCTTTCTATTGATTCCTCGCTGGTGGATCACGCATCTGCGATGTCCCGGGGCGACGTGCCGCGGAGGAGCAAGGGGGAGCGAGAACGAGAGAGAGAGAGAGAGAGAGAGAGGGGAGGAATTGTTGAACGGCTGTTGGCCGTTTCTTCCGTTCTGCTTGAGAATTCTCCGACGTGCGACACACCTCCCCGACGCCGATAATAACGGCTCGCGCGCCACGAGTCCGGAAATATTTTGTAATTGCGAAACAATTGTCCGCCAAGTATCTCTCTCTTTCTCTCTCTGCGCATCGCGGCCGCCGATGAAGCCGACGGCGTCGAGCTCGAGCGGAAGGAGAACGCTGCGCGGAAGGTCTATCCGTATCGCCCGGGCGCGATTCGCCGGTTTATAAACGCGAGCACGGGGAAGCCGGCTCCGGCCGGCGTTAATTGCTTTGGAGAAATGCGTTTCTACGAAAGCTACTAATATTAGCGGCGCCCGTAACGCGGCCGCGTGCCGAGGTGCACTGTAATTAAACGGGATGGCCTTTTTCTTTCTTCGTTACCTCAGCGCGCGCCCGTCATCGCCGCATCGGCGCGTCGCGCTTCCTCGGGACGACGACGACGACGACGACGACGACGACGACGACGACGACGGGCGAGTTCGCGCGAGCGATATTATTAGGTGTGCGACGCCGACGCCCCGGTTCGCCGGCGCGAGTATTAGGCCTCTCGGAGGAGGTGCAACAAGGTTGCCGCGCGCCTTGACGATTGATGGCGTCCGAGGGACAAGTGCGCGATTACGCGACGAGTTTAATGGATAAGTACGCTGGCCGGCGTCGCGTCACGTCGCGTCGCGCTGCGCGCGCTGGCCGAGCCCCAGTGCGTAATTTATCATTACGCAGATATCGATCGCCGTTCGTTCGCTTTTCGCGCGGCGCGTGAGCGCGTCACGTTTGCGCGCGATGCCGCGGCGTTCTTTCAGTCTCGGGATGATTCGGGAGAGCGACAATCGCGAGTCCACGCGTCCTTGAAGGCTTTTGTGATGCTCTCTCTCTCTCTCTCTCTCTCTCTCTCTCTCTCTCTCTCTCTCTCTCTCCCCCCCCCTCTCCTATGATATCAGATCTGTTCCGCCCTTGGTTTCGAAGAAAATCGCTGCCTGTTTTGTCTGAGAATCGGGCGAGTTAGTTTAAGCAGAATAATTTTCATAATTTGTATCTTTTTATTCCTTTTTTATACGTCTATTTTTCGTATTAATGTTTTCGCTTGTTAATATTTCATTTTTATACAATACAACGTACGTGCTTGGTCAGTGCTTCAGCC